ATTTAAATTTATGAAACTGGAAAGTGTTGTGAGCTGCAGTTAGCTTTTCTCTCCATGCTTGCTAAGTAAATTTGTGCATATTTTGACCGCATCATTAGGATATATCACTGACAGATTAACTCTGGACTATTTCAGGTGTTTTATTCTCTGCATGATCTTTTGGCTTAATGTGCTTGTAAACTGGAGTTAAATGGGAAAAATAACTCAGAGTGCACTATTTCCAAAATAAAATATAATTCAAGAAATATTTTGATAACTGATCTTTGAAAATACATTAAGAAGTTCTAAGAACATATAATTTAAAGGACATTAATGATTTCAAATGACTGTCTTTCTAGGTAGATCTTCAATCAATAATTTAGAACAAAAAGCCTTAAACAGACTGATATCATAGCTATATTTACAATAATGTTTGCTATCATAATTTTAGAATGAAATGTGATGAACTCAAGTTTCTCTTAACCCCATTCTGAAAGGCTAGTTTTAGTGCATAGATCAAATCAATTAGTGTAGTTTCAATTTCATCCATCCATCTGAAGTAATTGTAATTATCCTTTGATCAATTTTGAGGGCATTTGTAAAATCTTCTTCTACAATTTCATCTTTATAGGTAGTGTATAACATACATTATACGTTGCATCTACATAAATCTGACTAATTTGGATGGCCTTTGATGCTTACGAGTGGCTTGAACTCCTATATTACCCGTTGATCATTAATGAAATTATATATTGTTTCTACATTTGAACTCATTGTATCCAGAAAAATATCATGGCTAACCTACAATAACTTGCACTTGCATCTGCAGCTGGATTCATTATATCTGTACCAATAATTACACGGGCAACTATTGATTTATTAGTCTAAACAAAAACCACAATTATGAGTACCATCGTTCATTTCTATCCTTGTAGCAGATTACCCAAAAAAATAAAAATAAACAGAAAATAATATAAAAAAAAAGAGAAGAAAAAAAGTTTGAACTTGCATCAATGAAGTTAAGAAGCAATCCATTAACTATGATAAAAAAGAAACTATAACTTGCCATGGCTATATTTTTTAAAATTTCCAATGAAGTTAAGAAGCACTAGAACCACATTTATGTTGCCTATTATTCCATGCCAAGAATGGTATAGATAAGTGGCGCATAGCACCAAGGACATGCATTTCCACCACGCCGAGAAATTCATGTTTAGAGGTTCAAGGTGCATACAACGTTGAACAATATTTATATAAATGAAAGAAATTTAAAAATTCTGATAGCGTTTCTGCATCACACCTACATGCATGCATTTTGCAGTCACAAGGCATTGCAATCATATTTTTGTTGCTCATCTTATCTCAGTAGGACGTAATGGAGAAAAAGGATTCATGTAGTCGACCTCACTTAGTGAGATAAAGGCTTATTGTTGTTGTTGTTATCCTATCACACCAACAAAGACATGTACACGTGGTGCGCATCACCAATGCTATAGTTCTATTATAACCACACAATGAAACGTGTGTATGGGCATTTTAAAGTGCTAATTATCTTTTATTGTCAATAAGATATGGTATAATAATCTCACCACTACATCTATGCTAATTTATGGGGAGAGAGCAAGGGGATGAAATTTTTTATTTTGCCTTGTGTCTCCGTGAAGTTTTTTCTAGAAGGTGAGAGCAAGAAAATAAATAAGCAGATGTGTTTGAAAGAGTAGCCATGAAGTTTTTTGTCTTACTTATTGAGCTAATTGGGAGGTTAGATCTTGTACTTGGGAGATGTGGATTAAAACCCCCTAGTTTCCCTTAGCATTTATCTTTATTGTGGTTAAGAATTTTGTTGTGCTTAATTTGCATATTTTCTAGTTGGAACTAGCTAGAATGGTGTACTTGAAAGTTGTGAAGTATTGAGTTAGCTTTCCAATGATACTAAGATCATATGATATTCAGGAGAAATGAGGGAGTTATGCTTAAATCAATGAGAAAGGTATAGGAATAGTTATTGACATTTGGATTTCAGTTTTCATTTATGCAAAAAATTGTGAGGTATTGGATTATAATTTATCGAGGGCCATGAAAATAGAATCTGTAGCAAATTCGGTCAGGAATCTACCCATCAAATTTCTTGTGATTTCGATGAGGAATGATTGAGTGATGCTCAAAATATTGGGTAGAGGTTGCAGTGATATCTAAATTCAGATTTTACACTTTCTTTTCTTATGAACCATGATTGACTGGATTGGGATCCGCTAAATTCCAGAACACTGACGTTATAGCAGATTGAGTTAGGAACCTACGCTTGAATTTTAATGCAATTTTATAAAAATGAGGGTTTATGCCAAAAAAGTGGGAGCAAAGGTCGCAGTAATTTCTGAATTTATCCTCATTTCATACAGAAGTTGTAGTAGATTTATTTGGATAACCTATACCATACGTGATTTCAACTAAAAATGAGAGACCTACGCCTGAAAATGAACATTGGTTGACGTAATTTCTATAATTCAATTTTTATGCTCCTCTTAATGTGTAAAGAATAATTGATTGCACCAAAATTGACAAATATTGAGAATGTGAAGGACATTGAGGATTGAGTCAAGAACCTGCCTTCAAAATTTCATACAATTTCGAAAAAAATTGGTGGAATTACACTCAAAATAATGAGAAACTATCATCATTTCTGATTTCAGGTTTTTATTTCCTATTTTATGTGAAAAATGCAACCATATGGATTGGATTCAACCATTGTTTAAAATTGTGCAATTGGGTTACTAAGCGTTTTTCTTTCATGAGGCTAGGTGTAAGCCTCAAATTTTTTTTAAAAAAATTGTGTAAATTTATAAATGTTGTGAATACTATAAAGTGTGGAGTAAGAAATAATATATTACTATTCTAACATATTAACGAATTAAAAAGTAATACAACCTTCAAACTGAGTAAAAAGTAATAAGCTAAGATGGGTTATAATTAGAAGCAACATGTTAATATCCAAACATCAAACTACGAAATAAGATGGGATATCTGAAAATTAAACTATCAAAATAAGCTAAGATTTAAAAATAAAATTTTAAAATATCAAAACATAACAATCAACATAAGTTAAACCTAAATCTTTCTCATGTATACCACCTCCACTTAGACAAGAATATAAAAAGTCATCAACGTTTGAATTTTTAAATTTATAAGATCTTATTATTATCATCACCCAATTAAATTTTTATAGAATCATCGACATAATGAATTATTTATCTCGCGTCTTATCCTTAGTCGTGTTTATATTCTCTCATTTTTTACTATCTTTTATCCTAATTATCTTAAAATTTTTAGTGAATAACCATCAATAAAAATATTAATAAAAATAATTATTATGTTGATAATTAAAATTTCAACTACATAAAATTGTTATGGATATATATTTCTTTTATTTCTTGTTATTAAGTGTTTGAAGTGTGATGATTAATGGGTAAGATATATTGAAATTGCTTTTAGTTTTTTAAAAAAATTGCGGATATCTTAAAAAATTTGAGATATTTTTTGAGGCGAGGCATGTCTTGAGGCGCTCCTCAGCTTCGGAGTACGGCTCACCCAGTGATAATGAGGTGTAACCCTCCTTGCAATTTTTCATAAAAGTCGCTGAGGCGGACCTCAAGACGTGCCTCATATTGTGCAATTTTAAACGAGGATTCAACCAAAGTTGTGTATGGGATCAAGTCATACCTACCTTTTGATGCTATTTAGAAACATGTAAGCTATGCTTGAAACAGTGAGGAACAACATACTTTTTAATTTCAAGTTTAGTTTCTTGTTTTAAGTAAACATTGCAATCATTTAGAAACATTAAAGATGTAGGAAACCGTGCCAGGAACTGATCTATCGCATTTCATGTGATTTTGTTGAGAAACAGAAATTATATGCTCAAAACAACGAGGAAACATAATTTCTAAAATTCAGAAGTTGCTTGTCCCGATTTTAATGAAAACTGGCATTTTTGTGTTGGAATTTTCCAAAGCATGAAAATGAAAGTTAAAGAGGATTGCATTGGCTTTCCAATGATATTTTGTGTTGGAATTTTCCAAAGCATGAAAATGAAAATGATACCTATATAATATAAGCCTGATAAGAAATGTGGAAGTTAGACCAAATTTTGTGAGAAGAGCTTGAGCCCACCTTAAAAGCAAGGATTGGAACTGATAATTAGTCTTGCCTAATTGAAGTTCAATTTTGTTGCAGCTAGTCGTAACCAAACTGTTTAGGCATTCAAATATGTCGACTTAGCCTAATTTATAATTAAATGATGAATTTGATAATTTTGCAATTTTCTTGTGCGATTTTCTTGCATGAAAATTATCTCGTGTACATTGTTCTTTGTTTCCCCATTGCATTTGAACTCTTAGAAGAAAATGTGCATGCCCATGGTAGTCGGGTTTGGTCTTGATGTCATCAAAGATGACAGAATTGATACATATACAGGGAATTTTAACTAAGCCCTGTTGAGCAAGAGCACTTGCCTTGCAGGGCAAGTTCTAATTATTTTTTGAAGTTGATAGTATTTATTCGTCTTTAAAAATATTATTGTTGTTTCCTTAAGGTAACTCCCTCCTATTGGGGTGCCCCATGGATCTCAAAAGCAACGGGGATTTTAGTCTGTATTATGTTTTTCAGTTTCCTTGTATTTTATTGTGGAGATTTTATTCTTGATTTTGCTATCTAGCTTCCTTTTTGTTTATTGGAAAAATACATAGAGAAAATGACTCCATATTTGTCGTTGTTGAATGCCTACCTCAATGAGTCAATACTCAGCAAACACCTCTTTGAAAATTGTGCTCATCTTATTTACAGTTTTCTTCTGGTATACATTTTGAACCTCTGCAATGAGATTTTGTAATGATCGACCTTGTTATCATGCTATTCAGTTTTTTTCTCAAATTAATTGTCATTACTTGTTTCTCTGCCCATATTTAATTAAAAAAGATCCATCAATTGTTTTAGAAAAAAAACTTATTATTTTCTTGCCGCTGCAGCTAATTCTACTTCAGATAACATGCCAAATCATTCCAATCCAGTTTCTCGTACTGTTGTTCTTGAAGCTGTCAACATAGATCATGCTGATCTTGATCCTACATTCCTTAATCGGGTGAGGATGTGAAGCCATAATTAATTTGCTGCTCAAATGACGCTTTTCTAATTACATGATATATGAACTTTTAATGTGCAGATTATGACTAATATACTGAATTCTTTTAGCGCAACTAATACTGGAAGTGGTAATGTTGGCACTAATATTCGGGTAATCTAAGATTGCTCTTAAAACATATTTCTAGAACTTGATTTGTTTTTAGAATGGTTGCTCTGCACATTTGTCTTTCGCAGCTAACTTAAGTTGTTTTGTAGGAAGAAAATTTAGATAGGCTTCCAAGATCATTTGGTGATACTGGAGTTTCAAGCAGTCAGAATCAACCACATATTGCTTCTCAAAGCAGTCAAAATCAATCAAATATTTCTTCTCAAAGAATAGCGTTTGACAGGCAACAACCTGCTTTCCAATTCCCAACCGCTGTTTCATTGGGGTCCCAAAGCTTGCCAGTAAGCTGGAATTCTCATTCAAATTCGGCATTGTATAATTCCATTGTTATCTGCTGATCTCTTTTTGCTAAATGGAATGTACAGGAGCATTCATAAAATGCCTTCCATGACCAACATGCTTTGATGTTGCTACTTCTTGAGCCCTCATCCTTTTTCCATGTCATTATATTTTCTTTCTTTTGGCAGGCAATTCCACATTCCTTGACTACTCTACAACAGTACTTGGCCTATTTGAAGAATGTGTTCTGTAGAGACATACATGGTTCTAACGGTATTGGAATCTATGTTATATCTACGGCTCATTCATTTTGACCAAATTGTTCATCTTATGTATTTTAAATTATGTGGTTCAAATGCCCTCTTTTCAGCAGATAGTGATCATAATAGCAGAGATGCTTCTACAGTGCATCATAATGATGGTGGAGACTATACCTCCTTACATCATCATTCTTCTAGGAGAGATGATCTACCCTCTCCTGCAGCTCTAGCAGAAATTTTGCAGGCGACAAGACAACTGCTAGCAGAGCATGTTGAAGAGCGT